GATATCTAACAAATGCACTGGATTTCACTAAATTCACTGGGAAATGGTACCATGTGCCATCAACTTGCTCCAAGAAGTAGTGAAGTCTTTCCAAGAAGATTAAGTGGAAGGATACAAATCTCATCTGAAAACCTGAGAAACCAGTACGCAAAATTCAATCCTCATTTCGGGCAGCAAACACCCAAGTAATTCAAATATACACAATTTAAAAACTACTAAGTATTCAGGTTCCACTTCTACACCATTAAAAGAGAAATAAAAAAGGATTTTGATTTGTTGCTACAATATCATGAGAGGATCAGAATGAAACAGCCACAAGAAGCTGTAAGGGACAAACCCACAGGTGACTTTCCTTTAGTCAAAAGGATTAATTATTAATTACACTATTTATGAGCAAAACATATGAAAGTTACATTTTTGAGGCTACCACACGGTCAGTATGAGACAACTTTCTTCATAAAGAAACCATTATATGCTACCCCATACCCCAAGATTTTTGGAGAAAACAGCTCTTTGGAATTAAATGCCTAACACTGAGAATTTAGTGAACCAAAACATGAAATGCAGTTTATTTACATTAGATTCATAAGCAATTTACAAATGTTGCTTAAAAATCGCTTAAAAATGGAGAATTGGTTGCTGACAAGTTACCATTGTGGAAAATGGACTTCATCTTATTTGGCATTGTCTGATTACAGCCCACACATGTCATTTGAGCATTTAATTTTCTTAGGATAAATTTGCCCAAGCTTAAATGCAGATATACACATAAAATCAGAGTTATCCTTGTGGTTGTCAGAAGAACCTCAGCCACTCTGACATAATTGTTTGAACAGTAAAGAAAACCTCAACAAACCCAGCACATTTTTACATCAATAAACACATCAGCTTTATAGCACCTTGCAGGCACAACAAATACGTTCATCCCCCTCAAATTAAGCATTTCACAGCTAAACATTTTCCACTTTTTTTTTTTTCAAGCTCAGGTGCAAAAAGGAAACATCAACTTCACAAAGTTAATTTGGGTCAATGAAATGACTGAACACAAAACTTTAATTAGTTGTCTTAGAGCTAGAACAATGATCCAAAACTCAAAGGAACACAGCAAACAACTTTTGCATAGTGTCTGTAAAATAATATGAAATACCAGTCAACATACTTTCCCTTTCAGCACTGGAAAAAATGGGGAAAAATTAGAGTCAAACTTATGCATAAAAATGTAATGTTCAAAGGAGACAACATGCAAGGTTTCACTGAAGAACTATGAACTGTCCTTTTAAACTACATTATAAGTGGAGCTATTAAAAACTGTTCTATTAAAAGCAAAAATCATTCAAAGTAATCATAAAACATACTTACCAATTTTTTTTTATTAGGAGCATATTAAGCACACATCAAAAAAATACAGGATGCAACTGGACAAAATCAGTTCAGAAGCCTCAAAAATCAACGCTAATGAAAACAAAGAGAACAACCAGGTATAAAACTCCCCCTACACAAAAATTTCTAAGCAGTCTGTAACAAAATTGCTGTGACAGCCTATGGCCATAATCTTTGGTGGAGTACTAGTATATCCTAACCCATAAAAAAACCCCTGCTTTCTACATGCCAGCATATAAATAACAATGCTTAATGCCTGCAGAAAAGCCTTAAGATTTCTTATTTAAGGTTTTGCAGAATGTGTTAGTCAACATTCTTTACCCTGACCTTCAGTTTCTGATTCCTTCGAGCAGTAAAGCACCATGGAAATGAGATTTAACATATTGCCCAGGGCTCCTCTCTCTCTGCCCCAGGAAAGGAAAAGTGGACATAGTTTTGTTATAAAAACTTGTTTAACATACATAGAATTCACTATGTGCTACAACTGGGTTTTTTTTCTGGGTTTACAGATTCATTCTGTTTAGGAAAACCTGAACCACCAGTCAGCCAAAGTTTCTCTCCCAAGCTGTACTGGAGGAAGATCCAAGTGGTTGAACACTCACTGACCAAGAGCTAATAATGACAGTTTTCCATTAAATGTCAATAATGTAGACAGTGTACACATGGCACATGACTTCCTTAAAAATAAGCACTATATAAACAATCTGCAATGATTATTCAAGCAAATATGATAAAACTCCTGAGATGAGGGGAAAGGGTGATTCTACTATGGACACCAAGAATTAACTTAAGTGACTGTTCTTTGGTAAGGGAATGAAAACTGGAGGTAAACTGTCTAAGTACAGAAAGAGAGACAGCAAAGAACTACTGATGGCTGGATGGAAAAACAACTTTTAAATGACTCAGAAACAACAAACTGAATTATGTGCAATATGTTCAATTAACTCCAAATGCTTTTGGTGTAACTTGATCCTCCAGAGTGGCTTCAGCCAAAAGTATCAATTCAACTTACCTCTGGGAAACCTCCCAAATAACATGAGAGAAATTCATCTTTATACTTATGCAGTCTCCTACAGTGTCTAGTCAGCAAATCTTCACATAGGAAAAATAGTTAAGAAATTTTAGTTTTTCTCCTTCATGATAATACCATGCCAATGTTCTCATGATATACCTTCCTTGCTTTCTTAAAGCTGATGCACTTGCTAGAACCACCTAGTTTTCTTTCACCTCTTCCTTCACAAGGACCAGTAGACATTGGAGTGGTTTGTACCTACCATTACCTTTTGCACAAGCATTCTCAACAAGGTTTGAAACAAATCATGATTTACATATTGAGTAACTGAGATGATATCGATATACTTCCCCCAAATATGCAGATTTTTAGACCTGAGGTTTATTTTCCAAATCCTTCCCAATTCGAACTATGAAAATGGTAAATGTTTTAAAAATGTAATTGCATAATAAAAGACAAATGTGATGAATTTACAAGCAAGTATTGTACAACTGGTTCCAGTTGAACTCAATCTTTTCCAAAACACATATGAGAGCATTATTCAAAATACATGATTTGCATGGAAGATCATCAATCAGATTCAAAACACTGTAGAGATTTCCCTGGGTTTAAGCACAGATGCATTCAGGAACTCGCCTGGTAACAAACACATCCAGGTCTGTAGCTGATCCAGTGCTTTAAACTGTATAAAATAAAGCACCACAATGACTATGTTCCATGTGTAAAAGCATGAAGACATCAGACTGGTTCATCTAACTACCACATAATGATTTCACCAAGATCTTTAAAGAACAAAAGAATAATGCAACTTATTGCTCTCAGCCCTTTCACATATCTTGATATTTGAAGTTCCTGAGGAGGCAGATCTCGAAGAGCTGTGACTATGGAAACTGTTCCACTTTTCCTTTTAGAAGTCTTCTATACCTGCATAGATGAAAATTAAGATGCAATTCAAAATTTAAATCATAGGATTCTTCAGAGTTTGAAGCAACTTTGAGAGGTTGAGACTGATCTTATTTAGAGGCTCCAACAATGGATGGTCTCTAAATGTTAATTTAGCAGTGGAGCCCAGTTAACTCAGGAGGACAGAGTAGACTTCAGCTGCAGGCAGAGGGGCCAGAAAATATCTGTGTAGTCAGGAAAGGTTAACACATCATACCACAATACACAGGTACAAAAATATGTTTATGCAAAGGCACTTGCTCATTTAATTCTATATAAACAAAACAAAAACCAACAAAAACCCCCCACCAAACATGTCTCAAATTCACAATATTGAAGTTACATATTTTTTGGAACTGTCACTTAATCTTTTTTTTAAAAACAGGAGAAGACTCTGGCCAAAGTTTCAAGCTGAGTATAAATTATGCACAAAGACAAATTTTTGTTGCAAATATTTACTTAAAAAGTAATAATTTACAGCAGTGCTTTAACAGCTGTTCAAAACATTTAAGCATCCATAGAAACAAAACTGTAAGTCAAAAGCACATTCTGAATGTTTCCAATGGAGCAATGAATTCCTAAGAGCAAGCTACCGTTACTCATATGCATTCCTATATCTGCTGCTAACTAGAAGACAAAAAAAAATATCCAAAACCAAAGGGAAAAATCAAAACAAAAAAATCCCCAAATCCAAAACCAGCAGCCATCCTTCTGTACATAACTTAAGACTACAAAAAGTCCTGAAATTGAACTGTACAATGTGACCTTATATGCCCTTGTGTCCTACTTGTAAGTTAGCCAGTAGCAGCTGTAAAATGGCAGAGCACACACCAAGTGGTGTCTCCAGTTTGGGGGTTTCCTTATTTTTGCTTAATACCATTTTTACATTAAAACCATACTTTGGTGTGACTTACAGACCATTCCTATGTGTCTATGGCTAAGAATCATAAAACCAATGGTAAAAGCCTAACAGCTACAGTACTTTCAACATTATGTTCTACTTTATACAACTAATGTTCGGTATTTCTGCACAGCCTGCACAGTGAAAACCCCACAAATATATATTTTTATTGTAATAATTCCACTTTCACTGAAAGTTTATTAAGTAAGCTTACAGCCTGGCAGGATTATACCTGTACAGAGGTGCACAGATTCATATAATTCTGTTTACATGCTTTTACAGACAGGAATGTGACACCAAGTCCCAAGGTTTATGTTTACCCAAATTATCAGCAGACCAATAGCCCTGATGACAAGTGTGCTCCACTTCAGCATCAGAAGTAAGTTCATACTCAATTCTACTGTTCAATGATATTCACACTGAAGAATTTAAAAAAATACTTTCTGGGCGAACAAATCACCTTATCCTGGGCTAGTTAACTATAAAAAAATTAGAATTTATACCTCTTTTCAAATATCAATCTAATAATATATCACATCCAAGAGACAGGAAGGTATATTTGAACTTGCTACCTTCTGTAAGTTCAGTTAATCACACATACACATACATGCTATCTCCATATGCAGAACTTCCCTTTGGTGTCTCTTTCTCTCCTCCCTCTCCCCCCACCCCCCTTTTTTTAATATTTAGCATCCATAAGCACACTCATCAGGAATGGTCCATGGTGTTCCTACCACTGTTCATAACAATCAAATTGACACAATTTCAGCTTGCTTCATTTTCCTCTGTCTGGTTTACAGTTGTCTCCATTCTGTTGGGATTGCTTTCCTTGGAAATCTCCTCTGTCTGTTCCGTGAGCTGTCCGGCTTTCTTCGATGAAGGTGTGACGTTACCTTTCTGAAGGATCTCAGTAGCTTCATGCTCCAGTACTTCTGATGGAGTCAAAGGCTCCAAATGAATACTGCCTTGTTCACTAATGTCAGAACTGACAGACTCAGGTTCATCTCTCTTCCTGAAGAATTGCTCAAAACTCACATCCTCACCCAAGGTCAGCTTTAAGTCCCTCACGTTCATCGCTGACAGCGCAGTTTCATCCAAGCTCCGGACTTTAGTCTGCTCATCCAAGAGAACATCACCTGAACTTTGGCACCTTTTCAACTCACTTTCATCATGAATATCTTTTTGTTTCTCATCTAACTGTTTGTTATTATCATCTGAGCCACAACATGCTCTTTTCTCATGCAAAGACTTCTTTGAGCTGTTGCCAGGGAGTTCAAAACTAGGAACATCTTCTGTATTTGACAGTGATGAGTCTTCTTCGTTCTGTTCAGCAGACGCAACTTTTGTAGTTGGATTTCTACTGCATTTTTTTGTTTCATCTGAAGAGTCGTGCTCTTGTTTGCTGAAAAAAAAAAACCAAAACAAACAAGTTACTTTTATAACAAATGAAATAAAGCAATACATGGTTGTACCCTGCAAAGTGATAAAAGAGTGGTGTTGAAGATTTCCTATTTGGTTGTTGAGATATCCTTCAGTGGTGAAATCTTACTGCTCACTGAGGTAGTCATAAGAATATTTTTATCCTGTTACATTGATTTGTCACTCAAAATAGAAATGAATGACAGGCCAACCTCTTTACCAAATTACAACCTATATTTGCTACTTTAGTCAAACAGAGATGTTAGTTTTTTTTTTTCCATTTAGTGGACCAGCTAAAGAGTATATGACATTCTCAAATACACAAAAAATTTATTTAAGTTCTTCTCTCTCAGATTTCTAGAAGAAAGGGGGGGAAAAAGGTATTATTTGAGGGAACACTCAAGCCTAAGTTCCAGCACAAAAGCCAACACTCGGAAGCCCCCATGAGCTGTGACTGACATATCTGGTCGTGCCATAACTGTTCCTAATTACCTCAGCTATTCCAGAGAAACACCTCAGCCATACAAAGCCCTATAAATACTAGTTAAATACTGAGAAGTGTTTTCATATGAAAATCCAGTCAAATCCTTAAGAAACAGTGTATACACACATGACCTTTAGCTACTATTTTTCAACAAGCAGCTCGAAGGGCGACATGTGGTTGCAGAGCAAATGGGCACAGTGTTGTGCTTTCTGTGGGAAGGTTTGAACACAGATATGCAAAGGAAAAAAAAGTTTTAAATAAAGGGATGACTAATGCCTCATTATCACACAAAGAGCAGTGTTCCACACTGGAAACCCAGATGGATCACATATATGTGTACACACACACAAGATTCACACCAAGAAACTCCTCCAAGCACAAATCTGCCCTTAGCATATAAAACAAATTGATCACCATCTTCCTCACCTTCTAGTAACCAAAACTCCCAGCTTCATCCAAGAAGTGGTGGGGAAGGGAAAAAGAAAAATATATATACACATATATATATATTCATTTCTTGTGCAGAAGATACCTTCCTGTGAGTCATTTATACTAATGAAGGAGTACAAAAATAAAACAAGCTTTTGCACAAACACATCACAATTATCCACAAACAACAGTGATATTTCTGATTGTTAAGCACAACAGTAAGTTCCTTTAGATAGAACAATTCTCCAGTGAAATAATTCACCTCTGCTGAGAACTGCAGATGAATAAGCAAACCCTAGTGAGTGTGATGCAATAAAATGCCACAATAAAAAGAAAAATCGTAAGTACTTCAAGAATTCATTCTCTTAGTACATCAGTAGCTGAAAAAGAAAAGCCTTCTATTCAATATTAGGAATGAGAAGTATTCTTACTCCCCTATGTGGCAAATAGCCATTGTTACAGTGTAAGAAAACTAAAAATTCAGACATCAAAAATACTGGAAAATGCGAGAATTTGAACAACTTTATTATACAGAAAGGGGGATGTCAGTGAATGGTTAGAATTGTATAGAAAATGCAAGATTTAGGTGCCAAGTGAAGCTGAGGAAAGCGAGGCTCTGGTCATTTGTTGTTTTAAAATCCCACTAGCTCAAGTTTTTTTGCAGCACTTTATATTTAGAGTGTCCTATTATTTTACAATGCCATTTTATCTCAGGATTTTAAAAATAATTCAGAGGAAAATTCTACAGCAAGAAAGAAGAAACACTACAAACAAGTGACACTTACACACCTTCATACAGAGTAGTTGCAAAGTGTGTGCAAACACCCCTTCCTTCAGGCTGTGCAAAGTATTTCTCCAGGTAACAAAACCTGTATTACAGCTGCATTTACATCATATATTTACATTAACAGTTCAGGGTGAAACAATACCACAGTTTTGAGACACATTCCTCAATAACTGGTTTGATTTGCAAACCAGTACCAGGGCATGCAAATTACACTACTTTTTAAGGAAAATGAACTGGAAGCTCTGATCCACAAGTGCTCCAACTCCTAATGGAGCTGAGTCCTCAAGAGTCCAAAGCAACAAGGGCCGTTCCACACAGCTCTGAGCACGAGCACAGTGTGAGCCTTCTGTCCAGGGGACACCACTCTGCTCTGAAATAACACCCCTGAACCACTTCACAGTGGAGATGCAGCATTCTCAGCTTTCCTCTGAGCTACAGGATCTGCTCCTGGAGCACTAATTACTGGCCAGTATCAACATAACTACCTTGGGCACATCCTCTGAACAGCACGACCCAGCAGTGCAGGTACAGTTAAAAAAGAACTGTCCTGGATCTTCCCACTAGTTACAAAGCTCTGTTAGACTGTGTGTGGAGAAAAGACAAGACATTACCTCCAACTTAGCTGCTTTCTGTCTAATGCAGATTTCAGCCTTTAACCTAGTGGATAACGAATTAAGATGCAATGTTTTAAAATACTCTATGGTTGAAATAGAGATAAGGATGAAGAGACCTACAGTTAGAAAGCAATCTGGTAATCTGAACCCAATTTTTGAAGTTGATACTCATTCTTAGCTTAAATGTACTTAACATTTGAGAATTTTAAAATTTTTAGTGGGTATACAGAAATTATAAGATAAACTTGTAACCTATTCCAGTTATCTCACCTCATAAAAACCAGTAAGCAACAGTCTTAAGATGGTGAGCATTACTCTTATTCCAATGCTCACTGCAATTCTACCTGAGGAATGATCTGCTGACCATAAAAGCCTTTAAAACCATGACTGAAGCATTTAAGATCTGAAATGCTAAATTAGGTGCATAAAGGTACCAGACAAAAGCCTTCCACAATACAAGCTCAGTTTTCTTCTATTTGTCTGTCAAAACCCAAACACCCAGAACACAGCTGCAGTTCACTTTGGGACAGCTGTAAAACATCCCACCTGACCTCCAATACTATTTGGAGGAGATGTTTCCCACAAAATACCTTACAGGCATAGTACCTACATTAGATGAGCTATAAATTATTTAAATTTATTGACTTGTAAACCCACATTAATTAAGCAGCTTATCGCAACATCACTAAAATTGATTTTCTCTGTTTCTCTAAGAAAATGTTATCGCAGCGATAGCAAGTGTGTCTCCTACAAAACCTTGTTAAGTCATCAGTTCTAATAAAATCTAACCTTTCAAAGGTTTCTTACAAAAAAAAGAAAAAGAAAAACTAAACAAACCCCTCAAAATTGCTTATGCCTGTATCTTCTTTGTTGATGCTGCATTAAAGGCAAATTTTATCTGCTGAAGTATGGTGCTTCCTTTGTTATACTTAAATAATGTTATTAATCATAAATTAAATTATTCACCACCTCAGCGAGTCTTAATGGTTGTCTGCAGGGTACAAAATACTTGACACAAAATACAGCTTTACCACTTAACTTTTATGAAAATTGCATACTATATCACTGGACCTATTTTCCTAAATCCAAGAAAGCAGTGCTAAACCCAGACCTTTTAAAGAATTTTAGCACATAGTTTCAGCACACCATGAGCACCTTCTTACATTAATGTTCTAGCAGCTAACCAAAATCTTGACATGTAGCATAAACAATCATTTATAACTACTTTAATTATTACATCTTAATTTGCAACAACAGATGGGGAAAAATAGCTACCAAAAAAGGATTGTTTTAAAATAACATTTCTACGACAGCACTGTAACAACAGGAAGAAATTACCAGGGTAAATCAAATGAGAACACATCTTTTGGGTCAGGGACTTTAAATACTCTGAAGTATTTAATCATGAGTAGCATCATCAGTAAAAGATGATGCAACACCAAATATCTGCTTCAATGACTTCTATGCAAGAACTTAAACATGCTGGAAACAGCACTTTGTCAATAAACAGTTGCTCTTGAAAGAGCAGAACAATTTGGACACAAATAGACCAGATACTGTATATCCAAGGGCAAAACCTTGGATTCCCAATGTATATTCTCAGCCTTAATTCTGTTCAGAGGTTTTAGAAAGCAGTTCCTTCTAATCTGTAGTTGGCAGAAGTTACATGAATGGACACTAAACCATTCATGTTCATCACCTTGTGATGTTCCCAACACTTCTATGACACAAGAAAGCTTAAATCCCATAGTTCTCAAACATCAACAAAGCCAATGTACTTTATTACATCTGTGAAGCTACAGTGCTCCCAGAAAGAACATTATAAAAATAAAGCAAAGATTTTGACCACCTCCAGTAAGTACAACCTGTTGCTCCAAAAATTTTGAGCAATTCTGAAACCATTCTAGAACTCTCCAAAGATTCTTTATTCTATATAAAAATAAACTTCTAGTTAAGAACTATGAAAAAAGGCCCTATAATTGTCAATCCCTTAAAAAAAATGTTGTCAAAATGTAGCAGCTGAGCACAAAATTTCAGCTTGATTGAAATACTCTGGATTAGCCATAAAACTAGAGACTCAGAATAACAGGTAAGTAAGACCATTAATTTAGACACCTTGAAGTCTAAATTCAGATTGATCTGAAACTATTTGACAGATGAGGAGTCACCCAGGACTAATGAAAGAGATCTGGAGTCAGTGACAAAAACTAGACTCTAAAATGCAGTTCAAGTACAGACCAGGAGTATTCTCATTTCTGAAATTCAGTCTTATTGCTTGCTCTGTTATTTACATAATAAAATCGTATATATTTGCACACACACACAGAGCTCAAACCATGAGCAACTGTCTTCCCATCAATCTCTCATGCTTTCTTACAACCAAAAGTTTGTTGGATAAGCAGCATAAACTCAATTGGAATCTTCTGCCAAACATTCCTTTTTTATCCACCCCTAACCAAAAGTACCCTTTTCTGGGAAGACTGTAGCTTAAAGAATTTATAGAAAACAACTTTGTTATTTAAGTGGCTCAATACCTTCCAGTCACTCAACTGAACCATAGCCAGCATTATAAATATATGGAAAGGTCATTGGGTTTGGGGTTTTTGGGTGTTGTTTTTTTTTTTTTAAATCAGTCCCACCTTTTAAACAGGAATTCCCTATTATGAAAGATGCAACTTTAAGTAGAGTTTATGATTCATGAAGCACAATTCTCCCCCAAGTATCTGATTGTCTGAGCATTTCCTGGAAAGGTACATCTGAATGCACAGTGAGAAGAAAAGCTGCTTCTATGCTAAGGTGTTTTACCCTGTTAACAACTGAAGGAGAAAGCAAAGATGGTGATGTTAATGTTACTTGATTCTGTCTCCAGTTTCTCACCTGTAAAATGGGGTTAGTGATGAAGACAGTACACAATAACCTATTAGTGTCACCAGCAGTGAAGTGTCACTGCTCACAAAGCTCACAGTGACATTTAACAGAATAACAGAAACAAACATTTACTTTGTGGAAAAGGCTTCCAAAAAAACCAGTTAAGGCATAATTGGCTAATCAAGCAGTGACACAATATCCTAAAAATAACAGAAGAGAGACAGGTTAAGGTACAAATGAAGTCTTAATTCTTTGACCCTAAGCTAAACTGGTTATACCACACATATTCATGCTCTGTCCCTGCAGATGTGGTCCAGCATGTTGCATAATTTATGTAAATCATTGGGACCATAAGAGAGGTTTAATACTCAGTCAGGCAGGTTTTACTTGCATGGTTTAGAAGTGGTTTTATGTTATGAGTTTTCCACGTGAGTAACTGTTCCGAGATCCACACACAAGTGGAAATAGGATGCCACAATGCCAATTGATTCTACAGGAACCACTTCCACAGAGCTGTCAGACCTGTATGTAGCTTGCAAGTGTTTTAAATGCGAGTCTGAAACTTAAATTTCTGTAGCAAAGCTGCAAAAGAACCACAGGATAATATTCCAAATGAGCATTCAAAAGACGTATAATTCACGTAACTCCAAATCCGAGTGTCTACCTAGAGTCATTTCCGGGAAACTGAGAGAATTTTTCTGAAAGCCACAAAAATCTGCAACCACATTCCATTTTTGTTGTTGCTGGAAATCTGAATGAAAGTGAGACATCACAGATTCAACTTCCTCTGAAATGCAACAGCATGTTCACAATGAAAACACAAACCCACTATGCTTTTTTGAATGCTGCTGTGTCAAAACAGAGATAAGTCCTGCAAGAAAAACCTGTGGTAGGTAAGTGATGCTTGAAGCTGAACAGCAGCATTCAAGATGGAACATAGCTTCTGTCAGAAGGAAAAAAAGTAGCAAAAGGAATGAGGCTTCACAGTTACTGAGTAAACGTGCAGATGCTCAACCACAAAATATGCATAAGAGACAATGGATGACACGATCCCTGCCATTATTAGCAACACCACAGTGGCTGCAGAAGCTCACTATCACCAAAACTGTGACTGTTTGAATACTAAAAGTGAAGAGGACAAAAATACTGGTAACAATGAATTAACCTCAGAAAACTTGATTATGTAGAAAATGCTGCAAATCAAGAACAGCTTGCATTCACCAAAAATAATGTCTCATAACCAGGAGGTTATAATGGTGCCTGCTCTAAGAGCAAGAGTAGCTTTATCTCTTAGGTTGCTTGGAGGCTGGTAAATGAGAGATCCAACCAAGACATGTCCACTGTAAGCAGGAAGGCTGAGTTTGGAGGAACGTTAGATGTTCAGCATGGCAAAAGGAAAGCTCGTCACACATCCAGACAACCTGCTGATGGATAAACCTGCCATAGATAATCTAGAATTGAAGATGAAGTCAGAAGCAGTGAAATCAAAAGCAGATGTCTCAGCAGCTTGAGTAGAGCATCCTTGAAGATGAGAGATGATACCAAAAGAACAAGGTGAGAATGAACTGGAACTGTAGCTGCTCCACCCTCAGAATCAAGGCTCAAAAAATGTATCTACTTCCACTACATGCTTTCTTCCTCCCACAGTATTTAGGAGCAAAAAGAAGCTACCAGAGAGCAAAGCAGCTAATAAATTCCTTTGGCCAAGATTCAGTTTGTGTAGTTACATGCCACAGAAGTCATCCAAAGCATATTTTGCCACTATACATCATAAAGTCACTGGCAGACAGAAATGCAACTTCCTTGAATATTAAATAGATCAGGACTTGTATGTTTTAGTGAACACCCAAAAAGAATGACAAATCTCTTTAGTTTTAGAAGCTGGCATCAAGTTCAGAACAAAATGAGTTTTGATGTCAACCCTACACACTTTTTACACACTACTCCATTTACATCACCATTAACACACTGCTCCAGCTTGGGATGATAAACTGGAGCAGGGAAGAAACACTGCAAATGAGCAGCAGAGAAACACTGCACCATGTAAGTGAAACTCCTGGTAAGCCTCTCTTCAAAGGAGTACAGCCCCCAGAAAGCTGCCAGTCAATGCTGCAAAGCAGAGAACATTATCACAGAAGGGCCTTTGCCAGACTACAATACTGGAAGAAAAGACCAGACCTATTGTCTATAAGATGCAAGAAGAGAACACCACAGCTTCAATGCATGAAGGAAAACGAAAAGGTCTGGTCAGATCCTTGTTTGCTTACATACCAAAATAATCCCAAGCTGGACAGGGTTCAATTTTCTGGTCCACAATGATGTATCAGTGAGCCAAGGCAGTATAGGATACCTGCTCACTTTCAAATCCCCTGCAACAAAAATGTCTTCTGTCAGTTCATTTAAAAATATGTTAATGGTTGCGCAAAGCAGAGTTGAGCATTAGAAGAGTACTGGCATAGTTATCAAGCCTTATTCCCTCAGCACAAGGTGGGTCACCAAATAAACAAGGTGATTTCATGTAAAAATTTAAAGAGCAATTTCTGCTGGAACATCCCCAGCTGGATTATCTGTATTACTAATGGCAGGATTCTGGTCCAAAGAGAGCCTCAGTAACAGAGCTCATGGAACATGTCTGGTCATTAGCAATAAAGATGAGTTTTACAACACATACAGACCATCTGGTATATAACGAAAGACACCAAAAGATACCATTTGAGAGTTGCAAGAGAAGATCCAAAAGCGTTCAAGATTGTAATTGTGAGTCATTGTTTCCGACGATGAAGTGATTCTGAAGAGCCCCACAAACAAGTCACACCTCACTGAATTATCGCTCAAAGAATGGGAAGAAACACAGATCACTGAGAAACTACACAGCAAAAGTTGTGAACACTGTCTGCAAGTTCCTCTTCTTCCACAGCAAACCACAGAGTACTGGTAAGAACCATTCCACAAAAAGATGAACGTTTTTGTATGTACTCTGTACTGAAAATAATGAATTAAAAAATATGCCACACAGGTACACCCATGCTCTTGGGTTTAGCAATGGTATACTCTTGTCCAAAGTATCAGAGAATAAGTACATGGAACAGGACAAGAGTCATGGAAATCACCCAATTCTACGAGCATGACAATTTCAAAAAGCACCATCACAGATTTTATATCACTTCATGCAGTACCCATAACTAATCTTATGTCAAGACCAGAGTTCTCAAAAATAATGGCTCTCTGCATCTGTCCTAATCTAACAGCTTGCAGAAACAAACCTGCACATTTTCTTGACTTAATTTCAAATCTTTTCAGTGCTCACCCATCTGATACATACTGTATTTCCAACATTCTTAAATATATCCATATATCTCTGCAACATATTCAAGAGAGAAAAATCCTTTTGCAGTACTAACAGCCTGCCACAGCTGTACATCTTCAGCCACCACTCAACACATTTATAACCTTTCCTTACACCTATTTCAGCAAGTATTAATTCCCAACACCTAATGCAATCTCCAAGTAGAAGAGCTGAAGTTCTCACAGGTATCATAGCTCTACACTTTATTTTTTCATTGTTTGAGATTCACTGAAAGCTAGACCATTAAAGGACTCCCTCTTACTAGCCAAGAAAGAAAACACTAAATAGTGATGAAATAATTTATTTGGGATATTTCCAATACTCAGTGAAAGCTGATTTATACTTAGAGGCCTAAAAACTTCTCACTCTGTTGGAATAGTTCTCACCACACATGAGCCTACCTAAATCCCTTTTAGAATCCTGCCATAAGCTACATGGACTCACTAAGGGTTAAACCATTTTCTTCCATCTTTTAAAATGTCTTTCTTTGCAGTGTAACTGACATCTTTATTTCTGTGTTCTGAAACAGTTTGAAGAAAACATGAATGCTTGATTTAACTGACACAACTCTGAACTTTCAATTAAGGCATAAGCAGACACAAACTACACCGTAAAGCCTTGGAAACTGTTCCAGAATAATCAGGGATGACTTGGCACATCTGATTTCTCTAAGGTTTAACACACCCCCCCCCGTAACATGATGTCCACAATACTGCAGGTTCTTTTTCAAATCCTTAAAAAACCCTGATTAATTAATACTAATTTTTCTTTGAAAGTTGGAATTAAAAAAGTTAATACAAACCAGTATACTTTTGTCATATAAAGAACATAATTTTGAAAATAATTTATAAATATTTAGAAAAGATTAAGACTGAATTAGTCCTCCTTCAGTAAGTGACATTTCTTTTGGTACTCATATTAATATTACATAAAGAACACAAAATGCTCATTTAATAAAGCTAATATTAAAGTAAGCTGAAGTAACAGTCTCACTGTGTCTAGACTCAGAGGTCAGGATTGAGAAGTTCCAACACTGCAAGAACTATTTATGCCTCTCCAAACTGAACAAAAACCTGGATTTGATTTTGGCTGCAATAGGTAATCATTTTATCTCTTCCTTCCTGTAACTGTGGACATGGTAAGAGCAAAAAGCACTAGTAAAGTAAGGGCCTGTGTTCATCCATACATCTCAAATTCTATGAAATTCAAAAGAAATCCAAGTTCAGAGTGTAAATTTTGACCATCTATCTCTAAATTAATAGAAAAAAACATTAAGCAGTAAAATAAAACTTACTCAGATACTTGTGCAGCAGTTGGGATATCTACAGAAACTGAAAATAGAAACAAAGGATTTAATTAAAATTATTTAAAAATGTGAAAATACAGAAGTACTCACTGTCAAATCCAAGTACACAGAAATAATGCAACTAAAACCAGGACTGTAATAACAGAGACATCCACACTAAGTATTTATATACTATATAAAAAAGAGACTACATGTACTCACCTTTCTCTATAATAACTTGACAAGTATGAGTGTGGCTCTCACTCAGATGTGTGGCCATGCTATCTAAGCCAGAAACATCAGCCAGGAATTCACAGTTAAGACACACTACAGTCAAGCCTCTAGAAAAGAAAAAACAAAAAGGAAGTATAAATACAACAGTTTTCTTAACTTACAGCAACTGGACAGACCATAAAAAGAAATTTATTCAACTTCAGATGAGATTATTCACATAAAAACATATTCTTACTTTTTCTACTGCAACTAGTATCAGGAAATCCCCATCAATGACCAGGGCATCTCCATGCTGGATGTAGCACAAAGAACATGACTTTAGACAGAAATTTATCTGTAAAGCATGAGTTTCTCTGTTTTGATGGGTTTTGTTTACATGGTTGTTTTTTCTTTCCCTCACCCCCTCCCCATTTTGCACCTTATGAATAATGGAAAAATAAAGAAATAGAAATATTATTAAAAACTGCTCAGAGTTAAGATAAAAAATAACAAATGTTGACAAATAATACATATTTGTCACTGACTAGAACACTGCTATTGGAAGTTTCATTTCTCTGATCTTTCTACATTGTGGAAACCTAGAAATTCAAGAGCCTATAATCTCAATTATCAATGAACATCAGAAGGTAAAAACATAATGATCTGTAACTGAAAAAAGCTGCATTACCGTAGCTCTTCTGATTGCTTCTTATAAATCCAAAATCTTTTACGTGGACGAGCACTGTGAAAACTAAATATATGACAACATTACCACTTAAACTGGTTTGCTGAAGTACATTACTCCTCATCCCCTACACTATCCATGGTCCTGCAATCTGCTCATGACAAGGCATGAAAACAGAAGGCTGAATTACTGTCCTGGATTATTCCTAAACATTCAATTGCTTAAAGCTTACAGGCTTGTGAATCTCAGCTCTAGTTTAAAACAATGTCTCTTGAGCAAGTAACGAGTTTGGGAGAGGAAAGGCTTAATTTCATTGGCACAGTCCTGTAAGAACAGTTACATTGCTTCCATCAGCAGTTTAGGGCTTGAGGAGCCATGGCTGCAGCCACAGAGTGCGCCACAAAAAAGTGAAGCTTTGCCAAACTTGTGCTTCCGAAAGAGACAGCTCCACATGAGAAATGCAATTTTTAGACAACTTGTAAGTTGTCCCTTATGCAGGTCAGACATGTGCCAACACTGTTCTCCCCCATGAAAACACATTCAGGCAGCTGAGTACAGGGGCTGCTACTGCAGAAACACCCTCCAACAGCCTCCCTCCTCACCAGCCCTTTTTCCTGACACTCACCAAAGAGGTGAGGAGAGGTGCTGCAGAGGATCCAAGTAGGAGAAGCATTAGTGCATCAAGGGCACAGGGGACAAAAGACTGGCTATTTTTAATGCATATTTGAATTTGACAGTGGCCACAACAGGAACAGTTTGCCTTAGATTTCTCTTTCCCCTTCTGAAGTAAACCTTTTCTTGTACAATTGGCATTAAGCACAATAACTTTTGTTATTTTTTTCAAGATTGGAAACAGTAGATTATATGCATAAAAGTTTGTAAACTATTTCAGCCTAGGACTTACATGAGCATTGAAGTCAGTATGACTTAGGTCACAGACCCAAGAACTCTAGCACTCACAAATGCCAAGGCATTTTATACATCCATGTCTTTAGAAAGACAGCTGCCTTCAGGATTTTTCCACAATACAGCTGGCTTGTTCAGGGCACAGGATTAACAAGTAGGTTTTCAAAACTTTATTTCACTGCCACTGCTATGTGATCTGTGTCTAATTATCACATAGTATAATTCTATGGCTCTAAAAACTAATGCATTTGTTTTCTTAACAGGCTTTTTTACAGCTGTCATCACTAATACCCTACGCTGCTGTACAATCGGTGACAAACCTCCTGCAAAATGAGATGTTATTTCTGTGGATGACCAGAAGTAACATAAGCAAAAAGTATCCACTTGAGTGTGCTATTTGAGACATCCTTTACATCTGAGCACAGATTTCACCAGCAATAGCTGTGCTCTGTATGCATTCAGCACTCGTAAAATCAGATGAGGCTTCAATCTGAAACCTGGAGAACACGCAGTAATTAGTCATTTTTCCTAACTCAGGCTGAAGAGATTATGGAAGATCCCACAGAAACTCTGAAGCAAAGACAAAACACTGAACCACTGAATTTTTAAGGCAGAACAAGAACATGGGGTTTAGGCCTTTATTACAAAGTAGAAAATCCAACCTTACACAGATCCCTGCCATTCTGATGACCCGGTTCAAAATTCAGCTAACAAACACTTAGCCCACTTTACATGAATTTAGGAAGTATTTGCTAAGCCAGGAAAACCTTTGAAGAGTTCTTACTTCACCATGTGATTCACATAGGCTTTGCTACAGCTGGTGCTGTATCTGCACAAACCACAGTGGACGTAGGCAGGAAAATGGCTGGCGAAATCCTTGATTTCTGAGCAACACTCAATGCACTTGTGATGTCCCGAATGACACCTGACAGGGATATGGAAGAGTTAACAGTGAAGAGCAACACTTTAGGATGAGAAACTATTTCAAACTTTTTGCTTATATTGGGGAAAAATGAGGAACGCAAAAATGTATCAGCTAAATACTCAGAGGTTACATTTGCACACAAAACTTTGCAAAGAAAAAGCTTTTGGTTTTTCTGTCACTCCAATATTCCCCACAAGCTTTGAAAGATCTACAAAGCAAGAATGTAATCCCACTCTTCCCCAGTTTCGCTGGCTGTTTTTGGATGTCTCCTAGAGCTACACACTGTGAAAGTCAGCAACATCTCTGACAAAGAAAACTGCTAACTTAACTTAGCCAATGAAATGATATTCTGGTCATTAAACACCCATGTAACTGTTAACATAAGGACAGCAAACCCCCCAAAATTGCAAAGATAAAAACAAGCTACTGGGAGACTGGTGCCTTACTCTCTTGATTATTTTTTGTTAGCTCCCCAAAATAAGTCACCTCCCAGGACAGACAGGATTTAATCTTTTAACTAACAGGTACTCAAAAAAACAAAAAAAAAGGAACAAGAAAAAATATTTTTCCCTCCATAAGAAAACTTCCAGAGAACACACAGGCAGATGTATTCCCCTCCACAGGTCAGTTTTAAACATAAATCTGCCTAATGAGTCAGTATTTCAAGAGTCTGTGGCTCTGTGCAGAGAAAAATTCTAAATGTGGCATAGAGAAGTTTCCAGAACATCTGTTCTTCCATAACAAAGTGGTTTGCCACTACTAGAATTGCTGAATGAAGATACTGAATTCTAATCACCAGTACCAGTATGAGGAAAGTTTATGCACCTGCTTTTTCTGCAAACCTGAGGTGTCAGATCTTCTGTATTACAGTACTGGAAGTTATTAAAGGACAATTAAATGATCATTTATATTCAAAGTATACTTAAAGATAGATTTAATGCTAATATTTTACCTTAGATGATGAAATGTTATATTTGTAACTTCCTTTTTTTTTTTGCTGTTGGTCCATGCATTTTGTTTCTTTGATGTAGTTTGTTTTGATTTTCCTTTTGATTTATTTGTATTAGATTTGTTATGATTTTTAGTGGTTGTGGTTTTAGATTTAGGTGATAACTGAAAGGTAGAACTGCTTGTACTAATAGAAGATGTAGCTGATGATCCTGACTGATGAGATCCTAGAGATGCTCGAATAGTCACCTGCAAGTATGATATAAAAGAAAATTTAGATTTAAGTTCCCATTTCTATTTGTCTCAAAGCTTAATACACTTAAGAACACAAATCATAGCATAAGAAACTCTGCTGAGTAAAGATTAATTTGAAAAACACAAAACACTGAAAATACTGTTGGACTACAGGTAACCTCCATAGCCTCCTGGATGCTTAAAAAGCTCATTTTGGTGGAAACAGCCATGACAAAAACACACTGCTTTCTTTTCAGACCTGCAACTGGCTACATCCTACTTTCTTAAAACAAAAAAAATGTACCAGAAGGGTCAGGCCAATGAGCCCTCTAAGAAGAATACCAAGCAATCCTATCAGTGCCTGGATTTAACAAAAGTCCTGTGTCTTGTTGCCTCAGGATTAGCCACTCTACCTCCTTCAGGTATTTTTGCTCCTCATCCTAGAACCCCAAAGACCAACTCTGGTTTCTGACCTCTCCTCTGGCATTATCAAACTCCTTTGTCTTGCCCTTAAATTTGGTTCCTGAGTTTTCAGTCACAATTGTACTTCTTGCCCACACTCACGGTTCAGAAGCACCTCATCTTCTAAACCTGTTCCCAGGCTCTTCAGTCTCATCATGTGCATCCTGCCGAGGTCTACTAACACCAAAATTTTAACATAACCTAAGCTTTTGCTAGATCATGAAGACTCTGAAATCTTTAGAAAATTGAGGGTTTGTCACAGAGTACAGAATCAGTGCTTTACATTCATTCTGCCAAACAACACAATCAACATCAACTGCAGTCATTTTCCTCTTCCTGACTCTACAGCAAATGAACTATGAAGAGCTGATCAAAATGTAAATTTTCTCCCTTGCAAGGACATATATTTCAACATCTCATTAAAACACTGCAGGAAAAACTCTTGCAATCCACAAGAAAATCCTAGTCTAAGTAGTTTCTTCTTAAGAAATCAAAGGATGATTTAAAGATGGCCTAAGTTTACTGACGGGACCCAAGTTTTCCCCCAACCCCTTCAAATGCTGAAGCTAAGAAGACCTGGTGAACTCAGCTTTAAGCATATATTGTCTGTGGAAAAGTGGGTCTTGTATTTTTTGCCAACACCTTTCCATAGGTCGAAAATCTTTCACTAGAAATGATGCAAAAGCATCTCCTAGCACAAGAAAGGATAAATGGCAAGCAACAGCTCAAGAAAGCTGCAGCTCTAACTGCACTTCTGCCATACACACATATGGAACAATGGGACAAAAAGCAACACCAGGAATCACCAAGAAGAAACCATAAACTGTGCCTGGTAATTCTTGCAACAGGAGTGTTTTTTAGAGTTTTAGTTTTGGAGGTGAGGAAAAAAAAAAACCAACCAAAAAACAATCCCAAACACTGGGCTTTGGAAAAGAAAGGAGAAAAGCACTTCTTTCTATTCCAGCCTTTCCTCTCTTTCCTTTTTTGTCCCCTCAAATTTTCCTGTATGAACACTCACCTTTGTCCCAGGAGGCAAGCCTTCTAACTGTTTGGGTTTCCTGAACGTTCGGTGATGCTGAGTCTTGTGATCCATTTTCTCTTTGCACGTTAAGAACTGCAGCCTGCACTTCGTGCAGCGGTACACTCCCTTTTTCTTGGACAAATAAGACAAGCTACAGTAAGCACGGACGGTGTGATCAACAAAACACTAGCAACTAGCTTGTCTCAAGCAATGCTCATCCTGTTTTTAAAACTTCAATGAACAAACTTCTAATACTGTACAAAGACAAGATACTGTGTAGGAATTAGAGAGAATATTTAAATGGTTGAAAATGCAAGGCAGTATGATTAGTAAGAGGAGGAGAGATCAGATTCCAGTTACAAGACACAATACTTCATTATCTTCTTCTTTATTTGTACTAGTGAAAGGTTTGCTAGTAACCTCAAGAACAGCAGAACACATCACTACAATGTAATGAAGAACCCAAATAGCAAAAAGATTCTTTTAAGGATATTCAGAGATTTTTTTTAAACAGGGAGATGCTGCCACACAAGAACATGACAAAGTCTAACAATTCCCTTACAGAATTTTCAAATTCTTCCAATGTATTTTATTAACTATTCTTATCCAGTAAAAACCATACAAATCATTTGAGGTTTGTTTTTCAGAGGGAGATTCCTTACATATATTTAGCATTTTTTCTAGCATTAAGGATTGAAATTATCTGCTTACCTGATGCCTCATGTAATGATGCATATATGGTGCTCCTATTTTAATTACTTTGAGGCAAAATGGGCATAGCAAATGTTTTGTGTTTTCATGAACTGTTCTAAAATGACTTTCTACATCTGAAAAAGCTGAGGATCTGTAGCTGCACACCTAAAATAAAAAAGGTTGACTATTTTTGTTAAAAGTTTATTGACAGGGGAGTGGTGTAATCTAAATAGGAAACAGTCACTTAGATACCTGGCAAACATATGGCATTTCACCTGGCTTGTGATTATCCTTCATATGTTGCAAAAGAACTTGCTCTGTTTCAAAGGATAGTTCACAGATTTTACAAATGGCTAGAAAAAATGAAAAACAAGATAAAAAGTCAAAATTTGATCTGGGTCATAAATAGATAAGTCATGACACATACATATATGTGAACTGTATATCTTTCTAAAGGTAAAGCAATCTAATATTATTCTACTCCTTAGAAGAAATTCCCTGTACAGTTTCAGAAAGCCAGGAGGGCAAGGGTCATAAACAACATGAGTTCTTGCAATAAAGCTTTCAATTAAAAAAAAAAAACAAAGAAAAAATAAAACAAAGAAAAAAAAAACAAGGAAAAAACCCAAAAAGCTTTTTAAAATACATTTTTTTTACACACACTTGCCTAAAAATAAAAAAATAATTGAAGAAGTGCTCAGTTCCTATATAAAATCTCAAGATTATTGTTCTTTAAGTACAATAGCTTTATTCTGAACTTACAAACCAGTAAAGTAAAAGTCAGAAAATTCCTAAACATTGTGGCTTAGGAAAAAGTCAATGGGCTACAATCCAACTTACTGGATGACTCGTAAGGCGTGTGTGTGCTCTCGATGTGGCACTGCAGCTGGAACGGGGTGGGGAACTGCCGGTAGCAGTGCTGGCACGTGGTGTGGCTTTCCCAACTCTCATTGCTCTGCTTCTCCAGCTCCAAGTGATGTTTCATGTGGTTCATAAACCTTTAAATTATAGCGAACAGGTGCAAAAACCAACATTTGAGCATTTGCTATGTGTGACATATCACAAGCAAGATGTACAGGATTCTTTAGAAACTTTACTCTGCAAGGACAAAGCTGACTAGAAATCTTGACTTTAAAAGAACATACAACATGTGTGAAACATATTCTAGACAAAGCAATCTATTACATTTTTCATGTTTACTTAGACAATATTTGCCTTGAAATAAAGGGAATTAAGGAAAGACACCAAGAACAAACGTGTTGACACTTCATTCACCATCACCACCTCAAAGCCACATTCTGAAACAAGTATAACTGCAGCTATGCTAAAAACCATTAAGTAGCAAGAATATATCTGCAATATGGACATGACAGTTTTATGTAAAACCACACCCATTCAAACCTGGCAAGGTTCCAGGAGCCTTCTTTGTCTAAAGCATTTAGGACTGAACTTGAATTATGAAGGACAGTTATCAAAGAATGCCATTGTGCTGATGTCAAAAGAGGATGAGAAACTGGTATGTTACTGCTTCAAATTAGCACCTTTTCCTCACTAATTTGTCCACCTGTCTGCAGTAGGGACCTATCCTGGCTGAGAAGTCCAGGCACCCATGACAGCACGGCAGGTCACCATGACTGGTGGAGCAGCACAAGGACAGTTTTGCTGCACAAGCCACTACTGTTAAACCTCCAAAACTCTTCTATTGTCAATGTGCTTCATTTCAGTGCAGCCAGAGGAACCTTTAAATGTAGGTCACAGTCACAGAAGGAATGTAGACCTTGGAACTGGACAAAACAAATGAGCAAGGAGAATAGTCTCTTGAGCTCAAGCTTCTAATATTCAGCAGCTGGTTAAAAAACAAGAAAAAAAAAGCCAATTGAAGCTATGCAGGTACCTAACCAGACAAAAGGAACTGGCACTGTTACTGCAGAGTACCTTAACAGAAAAGTATTGCAATGGTATGTTCAAGCACAGATCTTTAAAGGAAGTAGGGGACTACCATGAGGAATCACTTTCGGTTTTCTGAATTAAGGTCCAAAAAACTTATACTTGAAGTGGAAAGGTGCTATGTATTTATTTTGTCCATTAGAAATAGTTAAAGGTGCAAAATATACCTTGGAATAAAAATTCTGAAGTTACAGAAGTATGGAGTACAACTACAAAGTTACAGCAATAATTAATACGGTAAAATCAACTCTAGAGAAATTAAAAAGTGCTCACACGTTTTTAATGACTTGCTGTGGAACCCATAGGCACCATAGCACCAATAGCTTACAATATAATGCTGAGTAGAAAATACTTAATGATTAATAGCAGATTTCATTGTTTTAATTACACAAAACTTCTGTTTTGTTCAATAATATGGGTCTAATGTTAGCATAAACCTGTTCATTTTAACTTGCAGACTGTGCCCTTTGAAGCAATAGTCCATTTTTCAGTTTTACATTCTGCTACTTCAGCTTCCTTTGAAGAATGCACGTAAAAAAAGTTCAGTGACCTTAACTTCCAAAGGAACGATGACACAAACTTGTCTACCTGCTAAAACAGCTTACTGAAGTTTTTTTTCAGCATTTGGAAGTAAAATTATTCCATCAAAATAACAGATGTTACATAAGTAAACCACAGACTATTAGTCACTGTGCATCCCTAGAGGGAATTAACACTCACATCCACCAGTATCACCATCAATCCAGATGGCAAACTGTAAAATACTTTGTGTTGCCCCTTCTAACCCCAAAGTCCTACAACTGCTCTCATTAAATCTCTATGTTTATGTTAGGCACCACTAAAATTTGTACTCTAATCTGTAAAATGTTCCAAGTTATGGCCACACATGCAAAGTAAAAATTAATTCAGTTTCTGTTCAGTCATTCAATATTATCAGTCTTCAGTAAGAAGAGAACCCTATTCCAGAGGCACAAACTTTTAATACATGAAACTGCTATGGGCTGTGATTAAAAAACAATTAAGGAAGTGAGTTCAAATACCTTATGTTATTTTTAAGAACTTTGAGACAACTGATGCACTTAAATGTCGTATGAGTCTTCTGCTCCTGTTGCACCTGCTGGGTGTCACCTTCATCCTTCCCATAATAAAAGTCATTAACTAACATAATCAATTTTCCTTTCTCAGATTCAGCAATCTTACTTGTTGTGCTCAAACATTCTGTTTTGATCGTTGCTGGGAAAAAGTTATTTACCAAATCTGGACAACAATACTGGAGGCAAACAAGGAGGAGAAGAGACAGAAAGAGACAAAGGTGTCAGTCTCTCTTACCAAACTGCATCAATGACAACAGCATTTCAAAAACTGAAGGCACTCACTAGACTTAGATGCAAAGCTCAGTTCTCTGCTACACCAGCCTTAGTCATATTTTCGTATGATTTTAAACAATAATTGATCTTTATGTATTGTTCAAGTAATAAACCACTACACATTATAAAAACTGGAAAAGGATGATTCTCATAGGATCATGTAAGACAAAGTTAATAAAAAAACCAGAATACCAGTGTTGCCTTGCTCATGAGAAAAATTTCTACTTCATTAACAAGAGAAAAGCAGTTTTTATGCAAGTATTTTGCTGACAAGCATAAGTTTATTGAGAACTTAATGTAAAGTTCTATCTTCTATTTCTTAGGGGAGAATATATGTTGAAACCTGCAAAAGTTCTTTCCAGCATTACTAAAAAATTCAGAAATTCTCAGTCACACAGTACACATTGTTCAAACTTCTTTATGTCCAAGTATACATAAGGAATGCTTGGCCAAATAGAGATACTATGAAACTTAACACTTAAAATGTATGAAGTACTTCATAAAGAAGGTACTATGAAGTTACTAACAGTGCACAAAATTCGAATATTTCAGAGGACAGAATTTCTCCTGCTGAATAATGGTTTTTATTGTGCAGGACTACTTTCTATAAGCCTACTAGTAAGGAGTTAATTTCCTACCATGAAAATGTAACTCAGTATATTTATCCCATACAGTTCAACTAAAAATTTAACTAAATAATACTAAGTAAACACACTTCTTCAATGGTTCTTTCACTCCATTGATGTACTCAGTGCAAAAGCTATTCTGAACAAATAATGATTACAAAAAGATAAAACCCTTGAGTTTTTTTCCACTTATCTACATTTCTTAATTGTGTTTCAGAGCTGAAGAGAAAAGCAACTACCATTCAGGGCATGGTGACCCTGCAAATCAGAACCATCTGTGGTACCAGTAATTCAGATCCTCACAGATTTCTATTACAGAGTAGTTCATGCTCTTGTGTGTGGGACATTCACACCGTGTATGGACTGCAAAGCCATTATCTGCCCCCTGAAATGGAATACATATGCCCGAGAACTGCACAGATCTTTGCCAAATGATATTAAGTATTTTTCAGGAAACAATGTTTCCAGAAACAATAACAAGTAGTTTAATAATCAGACAAAGTGATGCTCAGTTTCTACAAGTTTTGATTCTCACGGTGTTTAAGTATGAACTACAAATTAAATTCTTCCCCTCAGCTTAACTTTTTTCATCTGTCAAGTATCAAGCATTTTTATCTTGATGCTTCAAGTGACACATCAAGATAAAAAGGTGAGTTTACACTGTCATCTTTGTGTCAGTAGTGATGTAACACAGATGTGGGTCATCTGGCTGTCTATTATTATAGACACTTACCTTCACTGCATTGGAAAAATGAGGCAAAAAGGAGCAAGATTTAGAGTTCCCCTACTCCAGTCTTCCTCTCCATGACTGCAAGACTGAGCATTTGGCTCTGGTTGATCCCAGACAGAAGTCAAATGATCTTCATATCAAAACATGGCATGCTTGCATAACCAAACAGAAGCCCACATGAGCTTGTTCTAATGTTTCCCAGCCCCAGAATATTTTACCTTCATATGATTTTTTAGGGGATCCATAAGATTGAAATGAATATTACACTTTGGACAAGCTCGTGGAAAAGGTCCTCCATTTTTAATGGTGCTCGATGCAGCATTTGTCCCTGTAAAATTTAAAACATGTGAAGATTCAGAATTCAAACAGAGTACTCGATTTATCATTATTATTCTTCTAACTAAACATTCTATTTCAAGTGAAAACTATTCTATTAGAGTAGCTGTAGTAACCACAAGGAAGGTTTTACAACCATCTTTTAACTACCCTTCCTTTTCCCCCATCTTGGAGTTTGTTCTGTTTGATAAACACTGATAAACAACTTTTACAAAATCTTAGCAACAAACTAAGAAAAAACACATGAGGAGGTGAAGGTAACATGATAGAGACAAAGCCTTCACTCTGTGCACCAGCATCCCACCACGCCCTGGGTAGGATGGATTTCTGATGGGTTTAATAACTTGAATTTTCAAATGAACATGCAAAGCCTGTTTTATGCTATGACCTGATCATCATCACAATAGGATTCAGATAACTGATTTTGGAAAGGAATTTCAGCATTTGGTTCTCAATCATGAGACTATTTCTCTCTGGAGAGCTGTTGGAATCTAGGCCTATTCAAACGTATCATTCCTGTTGAGCAAAGGTGTCTTTGGAGAACCTAGAGAATAAATCCTCTAAATTAATAATTACTCCCAGTAATGAAAGGAAATGGTGCTTCTCTTACCAACATAAATGATTAATACCTTTTGAGCAAAAGAGAGGTATTAAAACTTTGCATCAGCCTAAAACTTCAATGAATATACCCAAGCTTCAAGTTTTCTCCAAACTGCCAAAAACCATCAGAACAAGAGCCACTTTTCAGATGAAGTTCTCTTGCATTCTCAAGTCATTCACAGATCTAGAGGATTCCATACTGAGTGAGTAAACAGTTCAGAAGTTAAACACAGGAAAAGTAACATCTCAACAGTAGAGTCCCTGTCAGGGCTATAAAAAATGTAATAAAAATAAACACACAAACACATCCACCTTATAACAAGGGAATGAGTGTATGAGTGAAGAGATGACCGTGCCACAGTGTTATACATTTTTACAAAGAATTAGTCTTGCATAGTCCATAAGGTAGGCAGTGTTTTTCCTTAAAATAACAGTATTGCTAAGAATCATTATGAAGCAGCAAGTCCTTCTCAAGTGGATGAAGAAGAAATGTCCCACAAAACAGTGCTGCAAGTCTTCACTATTACAGCCTGGAAACATTTTGACATGTCACAGCAAAGGGCAAACTAAGCTGAAGAAAACGGGTTCTGCAGCAAAATCTCGTGCTCTGCAGGGCTTCAGCACCAGGTTCTGTGACAGACTAGAAATTGCTGTGCTAGTATGGGATGGCTTAGAGACAAACTCAGCAAAATGAGGTTCTCAGTGAGTAGGATCTACTTCTTTGTTACTGCAGTTAGCAAGATCCTTCGGTTATCTTTTCTATATTATAGGCTGCAGCACAATATCTATTTCACCCAAAACAGGCTGGAGGAATTGTTTTGCTGTAATATTCAAGTTACAGTCACTTCCTTCTGGCTGCTGGGAAAGAGTCTGATAGCAAATCAGCTCCAAATAAGACAGGCAAAAATCCCAAATCTGAAATGATTCCAAACAATCAGTATCACACCGTAGATAACTCCCCATTTTAACATTATAGGAGAGAATACATCTTGGAAATATCGAAAGTCAAGAATCCTTGTCTATAACAATCACTGGAAAGCATCTTTTGGCTCAGAAGAAAAATGCACCCAATTATTAAATACTCTAAAACAGCTGGACTACCTCTCTTCTCGCAAGGAGGGAAAGATCTTTCCAGGAACACCCTCTCTTTGAAATCTCCCTTCTCCCCTGTCATTACTATTTTAAACTGCTACACAAAAAGGGGAAAGCAAAACACACTTTATAATAGTTAGTCAAAGTACAGAACCACAGAGGAATTTAGGTTGGACCTTTGGAGATGGTTTTGTGCAACCTCCCACTCAAAGTAAATCAGACTTTATCGAGATGCTTAGAGCCATGTCCAGTCAACTTCTGAATATCTCCAAGGATGGAGATTCCACAATCTGAGTCCTTGCTGCCTTGCCTGGCATTGCCAAAATGACTTTTCCCCCTTTCTTTTATCTGATCAGAATTAGTTGATACACTCAGCAGTCATAGAATTCTTGCCATCTTGATTTTCTGGTTGGTTGTGTTTTAAAGTTTCAGTGCTCAAGTAGACCTGAAAGACTACAGCTACTTATCAAAAAGTCTGAAGTGTCAGCACAGGTCTTGTAAACCTCTCAAAATCAAAGGCTGCAAATAGTGTTCAGACTATGAGAAACTATGACAAGGACTGGACTTTAGTTCTGGACACAATGATCTGAGCTAAGGACATTCTTGCATATTCCCCTTCCAATGGTACAGCTGCTCCAAGGTCTTTTTGGGTGTAATAAGCAGCTGAATTAGTATCTTCTCAACAACCAGAGACATCTTGTGTCACATAAAATCGTTCAGACTTCTGAGCAGAAACAAACCAGCCCTCTCCCACCCATAGTGTGTTTACTCAGTGGGAACTATGTAAAGCCAGCAAACAGTGTGGAGAGTCTCCCCATTCCATGCACAGAGGCAGACTCCCTGCAGGGAATGCTGATGAGCAGCTTGGAGAATTCACCACACTGTGCCTCAGACATGGGAAAACATAATTCACTTGTTTTATACCTATTTAAACATCCTACCATTCTCCTTTGCAGCACACCTTTCCTTCTTTCTAACGTAAATAAACATATTAAGCCCAAATGCCTCACTCTGGTCATCCTTTGCCCAAGGTTCATTCATTCACACACACACAAAATGAACAGGTTATTCATTAGATTCTACAGCTGCTAGAGGGTTTTAATTCACTTACACTCACACTGTTAGGTATATGAGCTGCTTACATTGACATGTCTTGCTCAGCAAGGGCTTCCATAGAGCTGGTATGACTTTAGCATTCTTCTGTACCACTGAGGATATTTGAGCATCCAGCCACCAGCTTGATTTTACAACAATCTTCAGTAAAGTATTTTATTTGACTTTAGAAAACCCAACTTGGAAAAAAGTACTATTTTTATACACTAACAAAATTGTTAATAATTTCAAAGTTTGACACATCTGTGATAAAAATTTTGAAGACTTTTATATATTTATAAAGGTGAGTAGTCTTAATTCAGTTTATACAACTCTGGTTAGTAAATTCCCTCTTTCAGAAAACTATAATAATACTAGGAGAATATACATTGATTAACATTTTAATTCTGTTGTTTGTTCATGTAAAAAAATTAGGCCTATTTTGAAAACTAATCACACCAATTGCAAGTATTATTTAATATTTAGTTGGTATAAATCAGATTGACATCTCTTATCATAAAAGTGCCTCTCTCAGTTGGAGTGTGGACAAAAGAATTCCTTGAATCACCCACATTCCAGAGTAATTTGACCAATCCTCTATCCAGCAGGCCACAGGGACCCCGAGTGCTCAGGACAGCAGGGAAAAGCAGCAGCCAAACAATTCTTGTGTGGTCACTTTATGCTATTAGTGGGTACTTTTGTAGCTATTATCAAACAGGTGGCTGTGCTCATACACACAATATTAGTGTGTACCATATCCAAAGTGATGGCAAGGAGAACCAAAGTACACTGGATGCAGCATCACCTTCCTGAAGGTTCCTAAACAGACATTAGAACACTACTGTGAAGTCCTTAATGCTGCTCTGGGCATCTGTGCTGGTTTGGCCTCATTTTATGAATGATGGAAAAAGGCATTAGAACCAATAACCTATGACAAAAGCATTGAATGTGCTGTGGAAACAGAACAGGGACAGCAAAGCCAAATTGCTTCAGGCCTCTGGCGCATTGTGTGCAGCAACATCTCGAGTTAATCTGCTGCTGTGCATCCATGGACACAGCCCAGCCAACTCCACCCAGCAGTTCTTTGGGTTACAGCCTTTTCTGGTTCCTCCAAGGGGGTTAAGTCTGTGGGAGAAAGTTCTCAAAATATTCCCAGAAAAGCCACATTTTACACACAACCCCAGTGCCACCTGACCTGCAGAGAAGAGTTACCAATGCTCTTACTCTACTATCACCACCTATTTAACAGCCTTTCCCTGTTCAGATCTCAGAAATAATCATTTATGCAATATCAAGCTAAAAAATGCCTTTAATGATCCATGTGCGTAAATTAAGTTGTCTTGCAAGGTATCACAGGCCAGTTCCCAAAAGGATTCTCCTTTTAAATACCATATTCCAGAATGTCTGGTGCCTGCAGTGCTGCACATGAATTAGGGAAGCACAGCACCAACACAGGCAAAGCAGGCTTTGGCACGTATGAACATGAACATAAGCACCTTACATGACCTCCCCAAGCAAGCCAAACCACAAAATACACAGACATTTCCTTATTGCAAAGTCAAATGTATCTTAAATTTTCCTTCTGTGTCACAAAAATGTTCATGTTTCAACCCACAACTAAAAAACTTTTATTTTAACTTTTAAATCCTATTGCCATCTTACAGAAATACACATAAACCAAGTATGGTACATTTAAGATGTTTTGAATTACAATCCTTGATGCTTTTAATTTTTTCTCAGTAAGAGACTACTACAAATAATTCTCAAGTATGCAAGCAAGTCCCCTGAGTTAAAAAAAAAACAAAAACAAAAACGTAAACAATTAAACTTTAATACCTGTTCTTTGGAGAACAAGGGCTGGAATATTGAACCATTTTCAAGAAACAAACCCTTTTCTTACTTAACAACAAGCTATTTAACCCAGTAAGACAACGAGACTAAGAAAATAGCTGGATACAGGCAAGAAAATACGTATCAGTGAAGGTCAGTAGTGTATCTGGAGTGAATGCCTAAACTAAAAATGCAAAATCTTCACCTGAAGCAGAATAAACCAGCTCTCACTCTGTCCTACATAACTTGTTAGTGTGACCAGTCAGGCCATTCTCTGTATATGACCTGTTACCTCGGGGGAGAATCAGCAGGGATTGCCCTCCAGAACTTACAGACACAGTAATGGGACTCTGGGCTGTTACTACAAAAGTACAATCCTTCAAAAAAGAGAAGTCCCAAGCTACAGCCTGTTTAAGACTGAACACACTGCATACTTCAAATTTCCTTCATCTGCTGTGACACACACACACAAAAAAGGCATTTTTTGTTTGTTTTTAAGTAGGTTAACTCTTTACTGCTGAAATGCAATTTAGCTAGTTGAAAAAAAGTATTTTAGTTGTCAAACTACACACTCTTTCTCCTTTCCCTTCCTTTTCAGGAAGGATTCTTTTGATCCTATCTACTCCAAGTCCTGCAGGAAAGTCGGGAAACCCAGACCATCATCCCAGAGAATCCCCCCAGCAGATTCAGCTCTCCAGGTGCTGTTCACAGCCCCTCTCTTGTTTACAGTCACTCCCATTCCCACGAGCCAAAGAGTGATGAAACAAACCTTTACCAGTCAATAAAATTACAGTGGATTTGGCAGTGCCTTTTCCCATTATAAGATGCATAAGATGAATTATAAGAGCATTATAAGATGACATCTCTTGATATTACAGTCAGTCTAAAGCACTGAAAAGCAAAGTCTGACAACACAAGGCTCCAGAGATCATTTCATCAAACATTATACAAAGTTACCCACGGGGGGGAAGAAAAAAGTAGCTATACTACTAAGTTCCAGAAATCCTATTTAAAGTTATAACAAAAGACCTGCACTACAGTGAAATGACATCAGGTTGTTTCTTTCTCTTATCAACAACTACAGTTACACCCACCTGTTACATTCACTGCTGGCCCAGGCTGGTACTGTGGAATTCCCGAGTTCTGTCTCACACCAAACAGTATATCAGATGTATTATCTGGTGCATCTGGTGGAGAGTCCATAATATAATCCTAATAAGGTATTTTCAAGAAGGAAAAGAAATTGGAGGTTTAATATTTGTTTTACTTGCAGACTTCAAAGGGTTTATTTTAAAAACACGATCGCTTAAAAGTACTCAGCTGAAAATCAAGTCCATTACAATCTCCCCAAAATAGTTTGACATTTTAATAAGTTTGCAATTCTCATCAGTGCTTGTTAATTTATTGACGGCTGTGTATCAGAATAGTAAAAAAAAAATCCTATGACCTGGGCAAGTCCCTTTTATGAAGTATTACTAATCTGTTGGAATTGCTAATTGTAAGTGCTTGTGTTCAAAAAGTCTGATGATGTTTCAAATAATACTTGAAATGTTTTAAAAAAAATAAATAAAATAAATAAATAAAATAAATAAAAAATAAATAAAGCCGAGCAGCTTTATCTGTTACAACAAAAACATGAGCATGTATGTGTGAAGGAAATACAGTAGGGGCCTTTCCTTGGCAGTAACGATTCTGTAAGACATTCTGCACTCCTTTGAAGGATTTAATAAAGCTCACTATGCCATAAGTAAACTTTTATAAAGTTCACAGACTTGAAAGATATGTATATATCATATATATATCATACATATCTGAGGTACCAGACCTTTCTGTATGAACATGTCCTGATTTATATAGATAGATTCAGAGAACTGAAAAAGCAACTTGGATATCCTACTGATATCTGGACTTTGGATTATATCATTTTTTAGGCCTTCCTATATACAGTGACAGACTGATTTAGCTAAGCTGCTTCCCCACATCCACCATTTCTCCCTGCAAGCTATCAATAAACTGCTGAAGACTCTAAATTGGAAAGCATGAGTTCTTTCCCAGTGAAGTTGCATTGCATTGTTTTTATTTTGTTCTTCTTAAAATACAGCCACTCATCAGCGATGATTTAGCCACAGGTCTTAAGAAGAACAGCCAATTCTCATCTTTTAATGGTCTAATTAACCATGTTCATTCAGACTGACTGCCCTGTTCAGCAAATGCAGAATCCATTAGGCTGCATAATTTTTATTTACAACAAAAGACAGGCAGCTGGGACAACCACAGGTATGTGTATTTGCATGGCCAGGGGAGATGGTGCCACTGTCAGGCTTCATCTTAACCTGACAGTAGAAGCCAATATTACAGGCACAGTTTGGGTGTCAATTTTTTTCAATAAAGGTATCACATCATAGTTCACCTCATACAGATAGGAAATTTTAATCCTCATTCTTTCTCTCTCACATATGTCCAATAGATAAGGCAACAAAAACAGCATCTAACTTGACTCCCTCACATCAACTTCCTAAGGCTCTGTGGCAATCCAGGAATATCAATGATACGTCATCTAGGAAAGTAATCCCCTGGGGCTTTTCAAGCTACACAAATATGTTGCCAAATTGTTTCACCTGCTGGTCCTGCAACTTCTGGTTGCTTAAACCCTCCTTACCATACCAGTGTTTCACAACTGTCACACAAATCAAAATGCAAACCCCCCCAAGGAGCTACCACTGCAGCATTCTCTTAAGAAGCAAAAAGGCCAAGCAAGGCACTGTAAAAACCAGGTGGAAAAACCACTAAGTTACTTTACGCACCAAATGCAATATTTAAAAATTAAATTCATTTATCAATACAGAGGATCCATCTCTGAGCAAAGAAATCTGCAGAATTTAGAGAATGGATTTCCATCACTTTTCCAAACAACATAAAGAACCTAAACAGTACTAATTTCTCTAACGACTTGGATTTTCATTTAATGTCATTTTACTGTAACTAAAGCTATCATCTTCGAGTCTGGCAAATTGGTATTTCCAAACACACATTTTAATTTACTAGTGCAAGGTTATGGTCCTAGAATCTTTATGGCTTTACATAATGCCAGTCTATAACCTAGTCCAGGTCTCCAAATCACTGGACTGAGTCAGTATGTTCTTCATTAATTTATTCAAAAGTAATGGTACCTGTTAAGTGAATAGAGATTTACCTGATTGAGCATCACAGGCTGTGCTGTTCCAGTCTCTGGCCTGGACACAGGCTGAGCCACTGCGGGAACTGTGATATTCCTTGATGCTGGCTGTGTTGTCACTGGAATGGTTACAGGCTGTGTTATTCCAGAACTTGACCCAGGCAGCTGCTGTGCTGATAAACATCCAGCGACTGGTCTCTGCAGTGTTTGTGAAGTTCCTGAAACATTCACTTGTACAGACAGTGGCTGCACTGCTCCCGAGCTGCTCAAAGGTCTGGGTGCAGCCTGGAAGACTGATGGAACGGGCACGGCACCGGGGCTGGAGGCAGCGGTCACATAATGGTGACTCTCAGTCTTGAATGTAGTGCCTGGACCTGTTGCAAAGGATTCCAAAGTTATCTTTATGTCATTTTGCAGTCAAATGTTTCCTAAGTGTTGTAGATTTTTTTGCTTTTAATTGCCATATTAGGACAATAAAGTACCTCTACTGGGTGCACCATTCTGTACCCCCCTCCGTGAGGAGCTGAGGTTGACTCTGTTCAATTTATCTGTCAAAAGTTACATTTACCTTAATTGCAAATAAATTAATAGCTTCATTGCTTTTCAAATTAAAAGTAGTGCTCATATCCACTAATTAGGCCAACCAAGATTTGACTTATAAATTAGAATACTATCTCTAAAACAAATACCTGGCAAAACAAGCTATAATTTGTACAAATTAAGGTATGTTCTTCCACTCTTCTTCAGTTAAGCTAGTTCAGATAAGAATCTCAGTTTTTATTTTCTTGTAGACAACACACAAGTAAGAGTGCAAACAAACAAACAAATTCATGAACTTTGCTAATTATAGTGCATTTATTCACTTCTCTTTCTCATATACATAAGTTCCCCAAATACCAGAAACTGCTACACTAAAGGAAGTATTTTCTCTCAACTAGTAATGACACAATCTGCTTCTGTATTAACAGGAAAATACAGCACTTGCAAACTTGGTTTTAGACTTCATGATATCCATTTTCCAATGTGAAAGAAAAATTACAAGAGAACTAATTTCCTTACATATCCTGCATGGTAATCTGTGTCCAGAGCTCTGGCTCATCAGAAACACCGGGAATTTTTCAAATTTGATGTTTGCTCCCTAACTAATGCCATCGATATTCCTGGACTTCTTATGTCTTAGTCTGGGGTTTCCAATCATCCCAGAAAGTTAAAAAAATATTCATCAAATCAAAATATTTTTCTAGTCCCAGATTCTCCATTAGTGTTGCTGACAAGTTGCTTGCTCTGACCTGTGAAAATATGCACATGAAATTAGATTGATTCTCCAGTATCTAACCACCAAGGTTTGAAGTTACTTCTCAAACCAGGGTCAAATTACATCATGTTTTCAAACAATAGACCTTAAGAGTATCTACACATTGTGTTTAACAACCTTAAGGCTGTTTCCACGAGCAATAGCTCATTATTACATACTTCTCTAGTTGATAAGTAAACCTAATAGCAGTGGAGCTCAGATGATCACAGCTTTCAACCTGCCACCTGCATTTACATCATACTAATAAAAAGCAGCTGCAACCAACAAATTCAAACAGGTTTGCATTTTTTAAGATAAAACAAAATTTCATCCCCTAATAGTAATACTATTTTTACTTCAACACAGCAGTAACTATGAACAAGGATTAAATTAGTTCAGGATTTAGCTCAACACACACATTTTGTGATTGTTAATAAATCTATACCTCACATTTGAATTCCACAGTGAAATGAAACTAAAGTATCATCTACCTCCAAAAAAAAAGCTATCCTAAAAGTCTCACAAAGCATAGTCAGACAGTGATGTGGACACAGTTCACATCCTAAAATACAAAGGCAGATTTTACTGCTTTTAAAAAGAACGTTTCAGGAAGTCAGTTTTTTGAAATTATAAACTACTTTTACATGACTCAGCTGATTCATCGTAGACCCGATGTGCCATTTTCCCTCTTCCATCACAGTGTTATTTGTCCTGTTTAGGTAAAGAGCACTGAAGCAGAAGAAAGCTGACACACACAGTAACATTGTAAAGTAGTAACAAATTACAGGTTTGTACCATCATGAAAATGAAAGCAAGAAAGAGGAGTAATGTAGGAAAAACGAGCAGTTGCAGGAAATGATAAAGGGAACAAAGTGTGAATTACTTTTCATCTCAATCAAAACAATGCTCCAGTACATCTCAAGGGGCACTTGATTCTACATGACACTGTGCCAGCAGGTCTAAGTTGGCTTTTTAACTATTTCCTTCAAATTATCCACACCAGTCTGCACAAAAAGTGGTAACTGCACTGTCAGGAAAAGGTTAAGAAAATGCAATGCCTTCAAAAAAATTATGAACTACACGTGAGTTTCCATTTGTCATCAGTTTTTCATCTGATCAGACAGGAGCTTTCTCAGGTACAAACTCAGCAGTGATAAGCCAAGTTGAGTTCACAGTGTCTCGCCTGTCGCCCATAACCAACTGAAGCCTGACTGCTGCCAGGTGGCCCTACTTACAAACCAGAGAAGAACTGAGGTCATTCTTCCTGAGCTGTTTTTCATAGTGAAGTAGAAGATTACAAAGAGAAAAGTTGAGGAGAGGGAAGGAAAAGAGATAAAGTAAAAAGTTATACCGTAAGTGATTTTACTTGTGCGTGGACAGCGCTAGAGTAAGATGCAAACATTTTAAGTCTCTACCTTTTACCAAAGTCCTTAAAGTTCAAAGAACCATACTGAAATTATAGTTTTCACCTGAACTACTTACATCCTTTGACTACAAAAAAATCTGGAGATTAAAACAACTGCAATGAATTTTGGGATATTTTTTGATCCAACATATGCCCAAGTGCCTTAATAATTGTTCTATGCCATGACCTACTGCCAAAACAAACAGTAATCCAGAGGTCTCTGGACCTTCCAGAAAACAGTAAGGGTATTTTTTCAGTCTTTCTAGAAGTTTGTAACTGCAGAAAACTTATTAAAATAATTTTAAAATATTCTTCAAACTTTTAAGAATATGCAGAATATTTTTAAAATTTTCACCCTTCAAAACTATTTTCAGGTGAGAGAACTTTAATATCAGCCTCAGTATTTCTTTAATATTTAAAAATTAATTTTCCACCTTTTCAATCCAGTGTAAGAAGCAACAAACTATCCCAGTGAGCAACAAGTAAAAAAGTTAAAAGATGAAAACATTGTGAACTAAAATGACTGAAAAGTTACTAACAGCTCAAAAATCCATGCAGCAGAGTGACTGACAGCCTAGTTTAACATTTTGTCTTGAGATTCCCCACCGCAAACTATACACCTTCAGAAAACAACCATGGAAATCTTGGATACAAGCATAGGAGAGATGAGGCACAAACTGAGAGCAGCAAACCTCACCAGGCAACATCTCGGGTATTTGACTGCTAGAGAAACATTGGGGCAAACCTCTTAACAACTGATTACCAAATGGATGCACACAGAAATCAAAAAGTTTCATTACTAAAATTAATTAAACTAACAAAAAAGCAGTTCTTCTTTACTTACCTGCCAAAGCCCAAGCATAGACAAACAATGGAATCCTGACACATGTGCTGCCATCATAACCACCTAACCTCACTCCCTGCACTGCCTGCATTAGGAGAAAACCACAGAACTTGATGAAGAAATCTCTCTATTTTACAAGGGATGAGTAAATTGATTAATAAATATCTCCTACTTCCCAGAAAGGCTTCTAGCATTTTCACATTAATCACTTCTCCAGATTGTGCTTTCATTATAGACACTTAGGACAGTTACCCAGGTTTTGTCAGAACGGTGTCCACCAACATACAAAACATGGGGTGGAAAAAAAAAAGTGACTGTAACGCGAAAACTTGAATTCATGCACATTCTTTTAGTGGGGAGACACTTTCAAGTACGTAACTAAATACCAACTATACTGAGAGCAATTGCATGCATGGTTTCAGCATCATATATATTGACTTTGAAACTATGTTGTTAATGCTAAAACCTTCAAATGTCCTTGTTTTGACTCCAGAGAACTAAGGTTAGATGTAAATAGAACTGTGCATAACCTGGGTTTTAGGACAGAATTTCTTAAGAATTATGATTTTCAGCATGACAGAGACGTACAGCTTTAAGATGTAGAATTTCTTAAGTCTTACTGTTAAAAATTCTATCTTTTCAAACTAAGTTCAACTTTCAATACCTCGAAATATCTATTTTAAATGATGAAAAAGTTATCTTACATGTAGTAGCTGCCTTTGAGCTTGTGATTTCCCCAACAAAGATTGGCTCATCGTCATCGTCATCATCATCATCGTCATCCTCCTCCACTTCTGTCACTGTCTTTTGCCATGGTTCCAGCTCCTCTTCTTCACATTCCATAAATAATTCTGCCATCTTGGAACTAGGCAGTAAAAAAAGAAAAAAATTAATAAAATCACGCATAGCAAAACATTCACTACTTTCATGAAGTGTTTCACTGTTGAGTAAAGAACACTGCACTTGTCAATAATTCCCACACAGTGGTCTCCCTCCCTCTCCATGTTCTGTACAGGAGATCTTCAAAGATTGATGCCATTTTGATAATTTCTTGAATTCTCATCTTCGTATTAAGGAAAATTTACACAAAATTCCTCCAAACCCACAAAACATTAACAAAACCAAGCCACAAACAAAAAAACTCCACAAGAGCAAAAACCCCAATCCATACCCACAATGCACTGCAGTGTTTTCATTAGCAATTAGGACCTGAAAAAAATTTTGCATGGATGTCATTAGACTGAGTCCCTCATGCTTCCTCTCCCACTAAAAAAAGCCATGTACAAAAATAGTAATGAAAAATAAGTAGCTTTAGGAATATAACAAATTATCCTCACATCTCTTATCACAACTGGGTTTATTTGTTTTTTAAATAAACTGTGATGGCCAATAAAGTTTTCCTCTTTCTTTTCACATTCTTTTAACACAATCTTGAAAGTATTTCTGAACAACACAATAAATAAGAAACTTTGCTGTTTCTTTACACACCGTATCAATAATCTAATTTCTAATAAAATAATTTCTAATTTCATACAACCACAGGGCTGTCTCAGCAACAACCAGGAGCAGGATCCAATAACAACAGTGTTTGCTTCGCCTAAGACATGGAGCTTCACAAAACTCAATGTCTCCATTCTTTTGTAAATCAGAGGAAAACAATACAGTTTTGCACGAGGAACCCAAGAGTGACTCTGTCAAGAATTCCTTCTAATCAATGAGCAGTAAAGCACATTAAATTCATCATCAGACTGCTCTGACAAAAAGTGAAGAATATCCAAGCAACAGTTCCTTTTACAAGCCCATAATCAATATAAGAATATTTCTAGTCTTACTCCCAGGCTACTCCCAACAAAAACCATCAACGACACTTCCCTCACTCTTGTGGTGATGCAATATTTAACTGACAAAGCTTCACTTCCTACTATTATGCAATGATAGTTCTCTGAGCCTTTAACTCCCTGAACCCAATAGCCAGGGCATCAGACCAGCACTAATGTACACAATTATGTCAGCAAAGACTACCAAATATTTCACATAAGGTGACAAAATCAAGATTACATTCATATCATGAGCTGATATTTCTTAAAATATTTACCTTGCAAGATGAAGAGGGTGTTTATTCAACACATTTTCTGTACAATTTCCCCTTATTTTCTCCTTTCTAAAAATATTTCAAGAGCAACATATATACTAAACATTTGGACAAGTTTCTTGTTTGAAAGTATACTTATACAAAAGTAAGAATACCCCTCATTATCCATCAACAGTTTGAAAATGTAAGTCTTCAGCACAGATACAATGAGAAAACTGCCTAATATCTGAGAGAAGACAATTTCAGGACAGGAGTAATGAGCTGGTAGATTTGGTGATGGACTGTGGAAATAATTAGTCTGTAATAGCTCATCACGAGGGAGCAGAAACATCCTCTGTATGAGAACGGGGCTGCTGGTGTTGGGACATGTTAAGGCTTGCAATGAAATAAAGTAGCAAAGCTGTGCTCCTTTCCTTCCTCCATCAGCTTTTTGGAGTTAGCCATGGTGCTGGGAAAGATGAGAACAGGACACTAAAGTAGACTCCTGTACTGGGAAAAAGGGAAGATTATGAAGCGAATTTCCACTTGACGGAGACGTCACGGGCCATGTGCCAGGTCTGGCAAAGAGAATCAAGCCTAACTCTCTAATTTTTTCTTCTCTGTAGAAAGACACTCTTTAGAACACCTCTTTTTTTAATAACACAAATTTTAATAGACTTCAACACAAAAGGAAGGACTACTTCAGGGACTTCTTTTATGGAACTGACAACATAAATGAGCTGTGTTTTTATTTTTAAAATGTAGTTTTATTTGACCTCCAGGGAAAGAAACTAATAAATTACAACATGTGCTCAGACAATACTGTAATTTATATTAAAACACAAAATAGGCACAAACAATCTGTATGTTAGCAGAATTCTAGCAAGACACGTGATAACCTCATCTACACTATAATGCAGCTGAATTTTTTCTTAAATATAGTTAAGAGTAATTTGATAAAATAGGCATGGACTTTTACAAAGTGACACCAACTGGTGACACCTCACATTTCATTTTATGAATCAGGAGGTACACATTAAGGTATTCTCAAAGGTGAATCAAAATGCAGGGCAGCTTTTAAAAGGCAAGTATCAAGATTAATTTCGCATCTTCTAACCTAATTTTTTTTTAAATTTTAATACTATAATTTGAAGCCAAGCTTTCACTGACTTTTTTTTCCTGGGAAGAAGGCCAGCTTAATGAGTTCCCACCCTGCTCCTTCACTGCTTCCTCAGTTGTGCTAGCACAACTTTGCACGGGACTCTGACATGAACTAGGGCACGTTAAAAATAACCTGGCCCACTAACAGCTCTGTCTAACAACTGAGAGGTCAAAAAATCTGTGGCCTGAACAATTAAAACTGCAGTAAGGGGAAATGGATTTGATTAGAGGAGGTGTGTAGGAACAGCTCCTGCAAATGGTCTCCACTGCCAAAGCAAATATCTAAATCCATTTTAAGAGTACAAGCAGCTTCCAAATTTTTAGCTTATTTAATGTAGAAAATGCATTCTAGGAATCCTGCTGGCAGCCGCTCTCAAAGACAAAACCAACAGTGAATCCTTCCCCCACTCTCCTCAAATACCTCCCAGAGGTGCAGGCAACAGTATAAGAAAAAATAAACCTCCTGACAACAGACTTCATCTTCCACATTTTTTAATATGCATAAACATATACACATGTTTGTACACACATTTCCTTAAGGGTAGTCCATGTATCTGAGAGGTCCAAAACTCCAATAAAATGCTATATGTATATACTCAAAGAAAGTGTTTAAATCATTACTGTAGGCTAAAGTGTCAAAATTGTGAACAAGTTCTTTAAAACATTTTAAAAATATCATTAGACTATACCAAGATACTGTCTTAAAAGGCAACTTTCCATCAAAAACTAAGGGTAGCCATGAAAGTTCATTAGACAGGCACAGATAACCAACAACCTGCAAAACCACAAGTCCCTGGTACACTATTTTAGTTCTTACAAAAGTGATGAACTAACAACTTGATACAAGACAGAGAGAAAATCTGAAATCATTACACAAAACAGTAATAAACTTCTGATGAAATAACTGTTTTAAAAGCACTAATTAGGACATCCTTATCAAGGCAATTACGTTTCATTAACTGTAGAAGAGTGCCTTGAAGATGGACAGAAATCAGTATTACAGAAAATCATGGGGCAAATTATGGGGCAAATGTCCCATGTATTACTTCAGATGCAATTCACCTGTTCCACTGTTAAGCTTAACTGAGCCTTCCAATACTCAATACTTCTTTGGATTAGCTTAAAACAACCAAAATCATGTAACTGATAGGAAACTGGTAGTGAGCTTAAAGAGTGAGGACATTTACATTAAGCTGGAAGTTTCAGGCTAGCCTGGTCATCTTTCCATAATAGTATTACAAAATCATAGAATATTCTGAGTTGGAAGGGACCCACATGCACCATCAAGTTCAACTCTTAGCCCTGCACAGGACAGCCCAAAGGCACCTCAGAGCATTGTCCAAACTATTCTGGAACTCTGGCAGACTTGGTGCTGTGACTACTTCCCTGGGAAGCCTCTTTCAGTGCCCAAGCACTCTTTTAGTGAAGCTTTTTTTCCTAATATCCAACCTAAACCTCCCCTGACACAACTTCAGGCCATTCATTGGGTCCTATCACTGGTCACCAGAGAGAAGAGATCAGTGTCTGCCCCTCCTCTTTCTCTCTAGAGGATGTTGTAGACTTCCATGAGGTCTCCCCTCAGTCTCCTCTTCAGGCTGGACAGAGCAAGTGACCTCAGCCACTCCTCACATAGCCATTATTTGTGAGTTACTCAAATAATGTTTTCCTCCTCTTTAATAACCACACTTCAAATGCCCAGGAAAGTCGTCTTATTTACAGCACAGATCACACAATAGGCACCACGTTGTATTTCTCAGACAACTTCCCACTGAGGCACATGACTTTGCACATTACTTATCGAAGGGTGTGCGATCCACAGCACCGCCGGCTCTGCAAACAACTGGGCTATTACTGAGCGCCGCATTTGTTTCAGCAGCGAAGAAACAATGACCAAGATGAAACTGCACCTGCACGCTGTAAAAAGCCACGGCGTAAAACAACTTCCCTCAAACCCAAAACCTCAACAGCCAGCGCTGCCCTCCCTGCCAGGAGAAGGCACAAGCTCCGCCTAGGGAAGGGCAATACGGGCTGTGCCAGCCCGCCAGCAGCTCCCGCCGCCGAGCCGCGGCGGTGCCAGGCCGGGGGAGAAGCCGAGTCCCGAGGGCGCTGGAGCAGCTGCCGCTCCCGCCCGCCCACCCCGCGTCCCGCCCCCCGCGCCGGGTGACCGCGGGGCCCTCGGGCTGCGGGCGCGGGTTCGGGAGAGGCCGCACGCCAGAGCCGCGGCGGGCGGGGAGGAGGCCGGGCCGGCAGCCTCGCGCTCGCCCGCCAATGCCCGGGGCCGCGGCGGGCCC